CAGTTCTTTGGAGAACAGGGGCTGTGTCTTCGTTCCCTTTGGGCGCTCCAAGATGCATTGCTGTGATACGGATAAAAGCAGGACGCTACTCCAAGCAAAGACCTCAGTTCAAATCCCGACTCCGCCTTTTGCAGAGGGAATGTCATTGCCTCCCAAGGACCTGTCACTGTTGCCTCTCCTGCCCATTGGCCCACGGGCCCTGACTTTGCCACACTGCTACGAGCACCAAATGTGAGAGTAACTTTCTTTCTCGCCCTCCAGCCACCTTGGGCTTTACCAGGTAAGAATTCTGATAATGCCCATTTCACAGATGAGAAAAGCGAGATTCGAGGTACTGAGAGGTCAGGTGTCCGCGAAGGTACAGCCAGCTGTCAAGTGTCAGAGCAGGGATGGAACAGCCAAAGAGGTTGACCAAGGGGTGGCAGGATGGCGGACAAGGGGCATTTAACCCGGCCTGGGAATTAGGGAAGGCTCTCGGGGTGCGGAGAGGTCTCAGCTTAGGATCAGAGGGACGAGAAGGAGTGGGCACAGGTGTTCCTGAAGGGTGTCCCAGCTCCCGCAGCTGGAGAGGCGGGCAGGGCTCAAGGCTAGTTCCACCGGCCACGCGAAGGAGAAGTCCAGCAGCCAGGGCAGGCCTCCCGGGGTTGCCTTATGTGATAGCATCCTTCCTAGGAAAGACCAAACCAAGACCCACGCAGCCCCCACTCAACTCCTCCTTCGTCCCCTCCTCCCCATAGCGGACCTCTTGCCTTTTTTCCACATAGTTACTTATTTTCCTATGTTTCTACCTGTTGCTCTAATTCCAAAGGGCACCCCCGGTCACACTTTAACATCTGGAAAGAGAATGTGTCTGAGCGCCCACAGCATCATCTTGCCCGTAAGGCTCTGTAAACTTCCTTTTCTCATCCCATGGCATTTCTTGATCTTTTATCCGCATTACTATATTCTCCTTACAGACTACATGATCTTCCAAAGGACAGACGTACCACACGCAGACGCTTAGCCATATTTCCACCCATGAGCGCTGAGGCTGTAGCTTATTCGCCACTGTTACAAACATGGCCTAGAAACTTCGGGTCCCAGGAAGTGGAATTACTTTGGATATGAATTTTGTTTGTTTCTTTGTTTGTTTAAAGCATGTACCCGGCTTTCAACAGGTACCCCAAGAGATGCTGAGACCCCAGGCGGCCCCTGCCCCTCTCCCCTCTCCCCCCCCACCACCACACAGCTGTGTATAAATCACACTGAGACTTCCCTCCTGGACTCAGCCTCTGGATCCCATTATGTCCCCAATCCCTTTGTTTCCATCTCCCACCATCTCCTCTCTCGAGTCTGCACCAGGCATCGCGGGAGGGCCGGTTTTCATTTTCCTTTCATTTCTCTGCAAACAGCTGGGGACCCAAGAGAGGCCCAGAGACACAGTCTTGTGATTTTTCCAACCTCACCTCCTCAGAGGACAAGCAGGCCAGGCCTCTGACCCTCGGTCAGGCTTCTGCTACAACCATGCTGTGTTGGGCCAGGCATTTGACCTCTCCGGGTCTGGTGTCCTTAGCTTAAGATGGTCAGTCTGGCCATCTTCCTGGCTCTTAGCAGATGCAGCCGAAGTAAGGCATGGGGAGGACCCCAGGTAGTGCAGGTAGAAGCACTTTCTGTGCTGTCTCTGGATCACCCCACCCTCCATCCTACCGCTCACCTCTGCTACTGCCGTTCCTCCTTGTAATTCAGATCTCTGATGCCCAGTTGAAAGAGGCAGCGTAGGACGGGGGACTCTGAACCCAGGAAACAGGTGAGGAGCTTCTCTTCTGGCCTGCCATAGCCTCGGTCTTAGCACACCCACATTACACTGGAATTTTACTGCGTGTAGCAGCCTCCTTACAGGGTACAAACTGCCTGGATCCACATCGCAGGTCTACCCATTACTGTGCAAACGTTGGTAACTTACCCAAACTCCCTGTGCTTCCGTTCCCTCATTTGAAAAGTAAGGGGGATAACAGTTCCTGCCTCATGAGACTGTTGTGAAGACTGGGAGAGCTGATAGATGTAAAGCACCCAGGACAGCGTCTGGCACGCAGGGACTGTCCCATAAACATCGACCGCTCCTCTTACTGCCCTTCAACTGCTCCATTGAAAGCTGCCTCCGCCACCCTTCCTTCTGTGACCCTATTTCATTCCCTTTGCTACACCTCCTGCTATTTGAACCAAGTGTACGTTTATTTATTCATTCATTCCTACGTTCTGCATGGGCAGGCACCACACCTGTCCTGTCACGTTCTATGCCCAGTGCTGAGTGAAATACATATGTACTAAGCAAATAACCGAGTCTCCAGCAGTTAGCTCCATTTTACAGATGAAAAGCCTGAGGCTCAGGGAGGTGATGTGACTTAATTGACATTAACTGAGCTCCTACTATCCACAGTGCACCTCTGCTAGGTACTTTTTTTTTTTTTATGTGCTCTCATTTCATCTCAGAGCAGCCTGTTTATGAAAGCAGAGGATGGCCCAGAAGCCACACAGCTGGTTAGATGTGGGCCCTTATCTCTGATGGGACTGTCCCTACTCCTACCCCTTGTCACAAGTGGCACATCTCAGCCCAGTGCATCAGCACATCGAGGATTGACTCAGCCCTGGGAATGCGATCCAATCTGGTGGAATGAGAAGTCTACCTGGAAGATCTGCAGACTTTTGGGAAGGAGAGAGCCTCCTCCTGCTTGAGAGGCTAAGACTGGAGAGGGTTTATTGAAAACAAGACCCAAATAAAGGCGAAGCCCAGAGAGGAGAAGAAAGAAATTGAGTTTCATTCTCTGGATCCCAGCACACTTGAATTTTTCAGTTATTTGGACTGGGAATTCCTTTTTCCTGTTTAAACAGGGATGATTTGCGTTCTACCACAGGACCCCTGGCTGATACAGCTAGCCTGGTTGTTTCTAGATCGTGGCTCTTTTTTCAACAGGGTGCTGAATTTGATGACTCTCTCCTCCTCCACGAGAAATAATTCCAGTCCCTGGCCAAGGAATCAAACCCGTAACATCCCCAGAGCTAATCTGGGAGACAAAAACATCCAAGCAAGATGGATTTTTAGTGGGCGCTGCTAGGGGTTTCTTGCAGGAAAAGTCAAGAGTTCCTCCCCAAACACCCCCACTGGGATTTGTCTAGGAGGCTGGCTCAGAGAACATGCTGCTTTGACAACTGTCCTCTCTGCTGTGTGACCCCACCGGCAGGTCCTCAAAGGAATAAAACGTCTTCACATAATAAAAGAGCTTGGACAAGATTCAAAATTCATTCCGGGGATAAAGAGATTCTGAGTAAAGTCTCCCTTTGGGGGTGGTGTGCGGCGAGCATGCGGTCTGAAGGGGCAGTCCGCTCTCTTTCTTGGATGATATCACGGTAATAATAGCAGCTCCCACTCCAGGCGCACTTACAGAGGCCAGGCACCACTGGAGCTCTTTAAATACGCCTCCCATTCCATCCTCGCCATATTCTTATGAAGAAAAGTGACAAATACCCTCACTTTGCCCTTAAGGGAACTGATGCTCAGGGAGACATAGGAACGCATCCCCGGCCGCACACCTACTTGGCGGTGAAGCTCGGGCTTAGACCTGGTTCTGAAACTGAATGGGTGAGAACAGACTCTGGATGTGTTTCTCAAAATCCTGGCACACACAAGGTCGCCAGCATTATTAAGTTTCACAAAGAAGCCAGACAAATGCCAACTATACTTAGTCATCCGGTTTACCGATAGATGTGACAAGGATGCTAAATGCCAGCACCCAGCCCAGCAAAGGGTCAGTGCTCCAGAGATGGGACCGCATCTAACAGAGGCCAGAAGGAACAGTAAAGGCTAGTGTTTATCGAGCACCTACTATGTGTGCAGCACTTTCATGCAACACAGAGATCCCACAACAACCAGGCACTGTGTGAGGTCCCAGGTGAGGTCAATTCAGCCAACTGGTTTATGGAATTCAGAGCACACCCCCCTCGTAGTTTTGACATTTCATTTTAATAGATGTGGGAAGTGAGTCTCAGAGGTTAAGAGTGCCTGTTGTATGATCACAGAGGGCCCGGGAAGGATCTGAGCAGGTATCTGATACCCGTCTCCCTCACATCTAGGGCAGGAACTCTAGATTATTCTTGAAACGTGCTCTGAGAACAACCCACATTGATTGCAGTCAGCTTGGGGCTGAGGACAGAGTTCATGGCACGTCCACCCTCCCTCAGCTCCTGCATAGGTCAAGTGCCTCGGGGACCTCTCCTGCCCTGGGACCTTACGCAGTGGTGCAGCAGGTGGATGGTATCCGCTCAGGAGAGCCAACTGCTAAGTTTATAGGAATTTGGGGAGCCACTTGACATGATGTTGATAGCTAGAAGCTAAGTTCCAAGCACTGTGCTAGGCACTTGGGAATCAGTCCAGAACAGGGCAGACAGGGTGGCCCCGGGGAAGGGGCTGCCCTCTGCCCCAGATTGCCTTTCTTGAATCATTCCATTTATGGCATCCCTGCTGCTGCCAGGTGCTCCTGCTAGGCCCTGAGGATACAAATCAGGCTGACACGGGGTGTGCCTTCGGGTCTGCGGGCTCAGACCTCCTCTCTTTTCAGCATTCAGCTCCGCAGGCTAGTTTAGGCATCTCTTCCGACCCCCCTCCTCACTCCCTCACGCTGCTCGTCACTCTGAAACGTGACTGCACATTTCCACATCTGTCTCCACAGCTAGTCTGTGAGCTCCTGGAGGGAGGGCACGACCTGGGTCTTAATCATCAGCACGGTGCCCGGTGCATACAGAGCCTGCGATCAACGTTTGTTGAATGAATCCAAAACCGCACTCCAGGGTAGGTAGATAAGGCGTGGTGCAGAGAGGCTTGGCAGCTGCCTCCATCTCCACTCCCTCGTTCCTATCCACCCCCCCGCCCTCGCTGTGCCCCCGGCAGGGCCCTGCTCCTGGGAGAAGCGCTCCAAAACGTGTCCAGACCCGGGATCCTCCTGCGATCCCCACCCTCCCGGACTCACTGAGAAGTTGCCGGCTGGAGTCGCTGACGGTCACGTTCTCCTGCCAGAAGGGGTTCATCAGCGGCACACACGGGCTCTGGACTGGATGGGGCGGAAGAACCGGTGGGTGCGGGCCTGGAGGTGGGACCCCAGCCCGGGGACCCCATCCACCCCGAGACGGCGGGGCGCGCGCGCGCGGGGACCCGAGCAGCTCCGAAGCCCTCCTCCCGCCCCGCCCAGGGCCCAGACCCCCCCACCCCGCCCCGTTTTGTGCTCTGGGGCTCCGGGGCAGGGCCGCGAGCCCAGCAACAGGTGCAGGCGGGCGCGCAGGGGGCCCGCGCGCCCCTTACCGCGGCAGGTGCGCCAGAGGCCGGAGTGCGAGCTGAGCGGTTCGAGCTGGCTGCGGTTGGCGGCCCCCGCCCGGCCCCGCGCCCCCGGGCCGCCCCGCTCCAGCCGCTCGGTGTCAATGATGTACCAGAAGTCCGTGCCGATGGCGGCCGCCAGGAGCACGAAGCTGAGCGCCCCGGCCAGCGCCGCCGCGCCCGCCAGCATGCCCAGGTGCACCCGCATGGCGCAGCGCAGCTCCTCCTCCGGAGCCTCCGCACCAGGCTGCCCGGGCCTCCGGCCTCCAGCCCTCCCTCCCGCGCTGGCTCCGCCCTCAGACCCTCACCTGCGCCCTCAGACCTGCACGCGCTCCTCCCGAACGGCTCCCCGGCGCCCACGCCACCGCCGCTCTCCGACCCCCTACCTGCGACCTCAGACTTCCACCTCCGCCTTCAGACCCCCATCTGAGCCCTCATCCCTCCCCATGCACCTCCACCTCGTCCTGCAGCCCTCCATCCCCACCCCCAACCTGTCCCAGACTCTCCACCTTCGGATGGCCTCACTGCTTTCCCCGAGCCGCTCCCCCCTCACCTCCCCGCCGGGACCCAGCCTGCCCTGCCTCTTCCTTGCCGCCCTGAACCTCCCCCCTGGCTCTCCCCACACCACCCAGACTCCCCGGTCCAGCCCCGCTCTTCCAAGGTTCCCCCTCCCCCGCCGAGTGTGGCCTGCGCCCCTCCTCCTGGAGCCCAGCACCCAGAAGGGGCTGGAGTTGTGCGCGCTGTGCTGCTGGACAGCACCTTCCCCGCAGCCTGGGGGAGCGAGACAGTGGGGCCTTGCGTTCTGACGGCCCCACCCGGGGTTTAATCTTCAGCACCCCTCTTCCTCCGTCTCCAATTATCCTTCCTCCAAAATCCACCTGTAGTTGATATTTCTAGGTTGACTACAGAGGCAAAAGGCAGATGGGATTTTCATGAAAGTTCTTTAAAGCCATGGGCTAGGCCCGGTGCTCGGAGTCTATCACCTCTACTACCTCTTTGGTAGAGATCTCCACCACTGCCATCATCATCATCACTAGCATCACCATCATCACTGTTATCGCCATCACCGTCATCATCTCCACAACTGCCGTCATCTTCATCACTAGCGTCACCATCATCACCATTATCACCATCACCGTCATCATCATCACCATCATCCTTATCCATCCCACCACCTTCTTCACCATCGTAAGACCTTCCATTCCTTCAAGAAATACTTCTTCAGTGCCTACTATGTGCCAGACACCACAGCTGTGTAGAGAATATAGGCATGAGCAACCCAAACACGGCCCCTGCCATTAGGAAGTGCATAGTGTGGGCTTCTCAGCCTTTTCAAAGCAGGACACAGAAAGAAAACAGTTATATTTGCATGACACACAGGGGTCCATGATGAAGATTCTAGGTGCTGGAGATGACGCTCTTTAGGACCTTCAGCACCCTTGTGACACATTTGTAAAGAAACATTGTGCCAAGACTCAAAATTTAATTAATTGGACAGAGAATCATTAAACAAAGTATCCTTTGGACAGGGTGCCATGAGAGAAAGTAACAGGAGGAGATTGTTCGGATTTGGAATCCAGGAAACGACATGGATGCTGAGACACAAAGGATGAAAAGGCATTGCATGCCTAAGGGATGACTTACATGTAAGGTTTGGTATATTCTAGAAAAGCCAAAGGAAGAGTAATCAGGCTAGAACATAGCAAGAAAGGAGCAAGTAGAGGGAAATGAGATCGGGCTACAAGTAGGGGCCGGGTCCTGTCAGTCTTGAGGTCGTGATAAAGCATTTGGATTCTAGTAGAAGCCACTGAGTGGGTTTGAGCAGAAAGGTGAAACTTTAATTTACACTTCCCAAAATGTCACTCTCCATACTGGCTTTAGCATGGAGCACAGACCATAGGGAGGCATGAAGGCCAGCAAGGAGGTCAATTAGGAGGACGTAGCCATAGAAACAGCGAGAGCCGCCAGTGGCCTGGGCTAGGGTGGTGACTGCAGTGCATAGACAGTGTAGCAAATAGAGTATTTTTAAAATTGAAGAGGGTAGAAGTGATAGGACTTGGTGATAGACTGGAGTTGAGAATCCTTTTCCTTGTGCCTTTATTCTCTTAATCATCACTGGCATCCTTGTCTTCATAATCAGCCGCATCGGCACCCTGGATAGAACTATCGCCAGCAAGAACTTATCCTCGCCTTGATCGTGCACACCATTCCACTCCATCGCTCCTCGCACCACCACCATGATTAGGATTGATCTTTCCCATAACCGTCACCACTGAAGACTTTGCTTTCGACTCCATCCCACTGTCGCTCTTCTCCTTGCTGGCAACATCATCAAAACAGTGCTCAACTGTTCCATCAGCCCTAGGAAACCAAGACAAAGGGGAAATTCAATGAGGTTGGCCCCGGGACACCCAAGGACATCTTTAAAGGTGAACCTCTTCTTTCTCTCGGCTGTTTTTCTCTCTCTTGGCTTCACTCTAACCCAGGCTCTCATTTGTTGGACCCCTTCTCGTTTGTTGCCTTTCACAGATTGGCAACCCCGACAAGAAGAAAGAATCCCATTTTCAGTGGTGCAAGTCAGATTTCCAAAACTGAAGCTGATAGCTCCAACTCTGACCAGTCTCTTTAGGTGGGAGGGATAAAATGGACAGGCTGGCCAGGTCGAGATCACCTGCCCACTCCCGGAGCTAATGTAGGGTGGATCTGTCTCGCTCCAACATTTGAGCTAAGGGGTGTCAATGGCCATCAAATATAGCGAATACAAACAGAGGGGACCCAAATTTGAATTTCAGATAAATGATGAATGGATTTATAGCATAAATATGTCCCATGTTATATCTGCAATATACCTATACCCCCAAAAATGTTTTTGTTATCCAATCTAAGTTCAAATTTAACAGGGTGTCCTATATTTTTTTCTGGCAAACCCAGCTGGCACCCCAAAAGAAAACCAAGGTGCCATTACTAGAATTAAGAGAAGGGGCAAAGGCAGACCAAAACAGGAGATGCCCCTACCCACACCCAGCCTGCGCATGTGCCTCCCCCAGGTCCCGCTTCTCTCACCTACATCACGAGGACTTCTCCCAGGCGCCTCTGCAAAGATAACCTTGTTGGTCTTGAACATTCTGTTTTTCCTGAGGATTTTAATATAATCTACGTAATCATGTTCAGTCACTCTTGAAAAACACAGACAGTAATTTTTTCAATAAATATGGAAGCACATCAAACGTTGGATGCTATCATTACTCAGCCAGTCAACTGAAAAAGACATGATAAAATCGGAAGACTCCTGAGGCGGAATCCAAACAAGCCACAGCATTGAGAATTAAAGCCACAGTGGGCACCATGCTGGGTCCTGGAGTGGCAGAGAACAATGTCTGGATGGGGGTTCCACAGGCTGGTTTTGAGTCTTAAATTAGCGTCTGGCAGGCTCTGGCAGGCTCTGGGAGCCCAGAGAAGTTGCTTTCTTTCTCTGAACCTCAGTTTCCTTAGCTGTAAAATGGGGATGCTCATACTAGAAGTCCCTGAGGGGGCACTTCGAGGATGGGATGAGCGTGCGCTGATGATGGGGATAAAAGTGCTTTGTCACTTCTGCAGAGTCAGACCAACGTTATGACTATTAAAACATGGGGAAAGGGGACACCTGGGTGGCTCAGCAGTTAAGGGTCTGCCTTCAGTTCAGGCTGTGATCCTGGGGTCCTGGGATCGAGTCCCACATCGGGCTCCCCATCGGGAGCCTGCTTCTCCCTCTGTCTGTGTCTCTGACTCTCTCTCTGAGTCTCTCATGAAAAACTAAATAAAATCTTTTTTAAAAAATGGGGAAAGCATTTGGAGGCAGGGTAGGGGGCGTGGGCTTTAAGAATGTAAGGAGGAGTGCCTGGGTAGCTCAGGTCATGATCCCAGGGTCCTGGGCTCCCTGCTTGGTGGGGAGTCGGCTCTTCCCTCTCCTTTCCACCTGCCACTTCCCCTGCTTTCTCTCTCTCTCTCCCTCTCTCTCTCGAATAAATAAAATCTTTTTTAAAAAAAGAATATAAGGAGGAAATATTTAAAAAGAAAGAGAAGGAGGGCAGAAAGGAGAGGATGCCAGGACATCAGGAAGAAAGGCTACCTCTCTCTCATTCTGAAGCACCAGGCGCCCTGAGAAAGGAGACCTGCTTTAATGAGTGAGCTCTGGTCCATGCAGCTCTGCAGCCCTGAGGCCCCTGTTTGCTTCACCAACCTTGCCTACCCAGGCCTCAACCATGTGAAGTTCTTTCCTGGCCCTGGGCCTTCACACATGCTACTCCCTTTAACTGGGACACTCCAAGCTCCACTGGGGTTTTTTGGTTTTTGTTTTCTTGTTTGGGCTCAGAAATTACTTCTTCAGGAAGGGTTTAGCTAACACCCCAGCTTAGCCTAAAGGCTTTTAGATGATGTGCTGACTCGGGGGTGCTGAATGCCCCTCCGTACCCACTCCGGGATGCAGCTTCCCAGCTCAGGCCTGCAGCATCCAAACCACACACCCCAGCGCCTTTCCATGTATGGAGGTGTGGAGGGGGGGAGAAGGCTGGAATTGCTGGAGAGGGAAGGCCCCCAGGAACAGCCACGGGGTGGGGGTGGGGGTTGGACCCCAGCCAGGTTGGCCCTGGCTACCTCACATCTTGGAGGAAGACAAAGCTCTGAGGTTCTCAGTGCAGACAAGCCCAGCTGCCCACTGCACCGCCCTGCTCGATGGTACGGCCTGTGATGATTTCTTCCTTCTCCACCCTAATGCCCCCACTTGTAGCAGTGTGTCCTAGGATCACCCCCCAAATAAAATCACTTGCCCTCAAATCCCCATCTCGGGGTCTACTCCAAACTGAGACACGCATGGAGACTCTCCAATAGTCATTAATGATTAATGAGGAAGCTATCTGCTACCTGTCTGCTGGCTCCTGTGAGCATTCAGGCAGCCTGGTAGGTCCTGTAGGATAGCTCATCCCACATCATCCTGATCCAACTCCCTCTTCACGCTTCTAGACACCGTTTGGCCAGTGGTGACAAAAGTCTGGCTGATGAGGTAGGAGTACAGTCTGTGGGGAAGGGAACACCCAGGAAAAACAAAAAGACCTTGGGAGGAGAAGGCTTTTGGTCCACCTGGAATACAGATGGGATATCTGGAAGTACAGCAGCCATCTTGCAACCATGGGGATAATAAACATCCTCATGGGAAGCAAAACCGAAGCAAAG